GCTTCTCTGCTTCTTCAAATATCCACTCTAATATTTTCCTTCTCTTCATGAAAATTTTATCCTTTATTTAAAGTAGAGAGAGATCAGATCATGGTGTGACCATTAACTTCTGTTTATTGTTTCTCCAATGAGGCTATCGCTCCGTTATATCTCCAAACATTTAAAATGCACTAGCACTGGAAAGGCCCCAGCTAACCAAAGGAAATAAAAAGATGCAAAGGTTTTCATTGCCACAAACAAGCACAAATCATGCGTGTAATGCATTTACCTCCCCATTTTGCAGGATCCAACTGGAAAGCTTCCAGAGCACGCTTTTGACATAGGGACTCTGCCATGTCGATGTACCTTCAATTATGTAAAACCTACGTTAATTATCAAAATTAATAATAAAAATCAGGTTAGAAGCGAAAGGTAAATACAAAAATGACCGGTTCAATATAGGAATTTGAAATGGAAATGAAAGCGGAATCACATACTCATTCCCTCCATAGTATCTAGCACCAGGATACCCTTCACTGTATTTGTTAGTCATGACCGACCCAACTGCTTGCATTACCGACACTGATGTGAAATTCTCAGATGGAATGAGTTCAAGTCCCTGCCCACCCACAATTTATCAAATTTCCAATTATAATTAATGTCAAAGGAGACCAAATTGCAAATTCATAAACTACACATCAATATCACATTATCAAGGTGTTAGGTCTAGGAATATATATCAAATCAATGAAAACAAATTTAGTCTGATATGCAAAAATTGAGTGAATATTGACCTTCCATTGCCTAGCTTTCTCAAGTTCAATGATGTCGGCGATTTCTGGATCTACCTCTTGGAGTGGAGCATTCAATTGACTTGTCCACTGTCAATTCATTCATTCAACAACCAATACAAGATCCAATATTAAGAAATCATAGATCTTGAATAAATGTATGTAGCAAACAAATATTACATTATGAATAATTGGCATGAAAATGAAAAGGAAAAGAGATTGAATGAGAAATCGAATACAGTGATACGAAGCTTCTCTTTATCGCTGACTGCTTCGCTGGGCAAAGAAGACTGTATAAAATAGATCAAACATAAACGATTAGGAAGAAAATGAAGAGACAAAGTGAAAAATGAAATGAATATATGTGTGTGTATGTACAGATATAGAGACCATGTAATAGAGGGGAGCTCCATTAGGTAGACGGTGAAGAAGAGGGTTATTATTGAGGGAAGAGCAGAGTCTGCGAAGTGCCATCGCCATTGCCATCCTCTCTCTCTCTCTCTCTCTCTCTCTCTCTGTGTCTAACGCATCACGCACTAGTTAGATTTGTCTTCTGGTTTTGGGTTGGGGTGTGTGGTCAGCGAGTGGGGTTGGTGGTGACAACGACTGAATGCCTGATGGGGGTTGTTATAACCAATTTGATGAAATTAAGGGGTATTTTGGGAAGTGTTTTTTTTGGTTTTTTTTTTTTTTTTTTTTTTGACATTTTATTAAAAGACGTGGAAAAAAGTAGAGATAATATAATTTTTTTTAGTGGTTTTTTTTTTTAACTTTTTTGGCTAAAAGGTTTCTTTATTGTACTAGAGCGGTAGAAGTGACAAATCATAACTTCAGTTCAGGGTTTGAGCAAATTGCATTATTTCTAGTAAAAGAATGAGGCTGGTTTTGGTTTATATTTACATTTATATAAACCACTAAAAAAAAAATTCAAATAAAAATTTATTTGGTAAAATTTATGATTTATAAATCAGTGATCTCAGTTTATAAATTTAGCCAAAATATGAAAACACAAAAAATGTGTTTCCATTTTGAGTTTTCAATTTTTCTTTTTTTACCACCCAACACTAGCCACCCCTCGCCACCATTTTCCACCACTGTCTTCCGCCACCACCACCCATCACCCACCCCCTACCACTACCTGCCACCACCACTCATCACCCACCTGCCACCACCACCCACCCCTCGCCGCCGCCACCACCACCACCACCCACCTCACTCGCCACCACCCGCCACTACCATCCACCGCCAGCCACCCCCTACACGGTCTGTAATTTGCAACTTGCAGTGATCACCCGCTTGGAAAACTTTGAGGTTGTCTGATCTACATGCATTTGAGCTGCAGAAAGATGTGGCTTCTTAGCAAGATGTTGATGTTTGATTGGACACTTGAACTCAACTCTGATTTCTTCAGTTTTTTAACATCTTCTCTAATCCTCATCATAACTCGTCCAGCGCTCCAATTTAGAACGACCCCTTTTCAAGTCTTGCTCATTGGTAGTGGAGTTATCATCTTCTCTTTGTGTCCTCAAAAAATAACATTGCTTCAGGGTTTCTTGCTCATGATGCTTTGTAAATGCAGCAGATGATGATTTCAGTTGTCCAAGATCACAACAGTCAATTGAGTCTGCTGTCGGTGGCTTCATTCTTGTTTGCTCACTTGAGCTTTCCACTCTAACCTGAACAATATGAAAATGTCAGAAAGAATAGCTTCCAACCACCCGCCACAACCATCCACTCGCTACCACCCACCACCGTCACCCACCCACCACCACCACCACCCGCTATCTACTCGCTACCACCACCCGCCCCCCTGCCACCACCACCCACAACTCACCACCACCACCCACTTGCTACCACCTACCACCCGCCACTGTCACCCAACCACCCACCACCACCACCACCCACTACCTACCCGCCACCACCGCCATCCACTACCCACCACCCGCCATCCGCCACCACCACCCACTCGCTACCACTCACCACCCGCCACCGTCTCGCTACCACCCGCCACCGTCACCCACCCACCCACCACCACCAGCTACCCACCACCCACCGTCACCACTTTCCACCATCGTCTTTCACCGCCACTTGCCACCACTTGCCATTTCTCACTCTTTTTTATATTTTTAAATTTTTTTAAACATTTTGTCAATTACCAAACGCGTTTGTAGTTTATGTTTTTCAAAAAATAAATAAAAAATAAATAAAAACCAGTTTATAAAATTTTTGTAAATATAAACTGAAAACGTAAACGTTACCAAACAGACCCCGAGTGTTTCTCTTATTTATCTTATCACAATTGTGTTGATGGTTCCATCTTCTATAAATCTGTTTCATTTTGATTGTTTGGTTTGTTGATTACACTGGTCATATGAATTCAAGGAATAATCTTTGAGCCAAAATTAAGATCAGTTTTGGCTGTGCTGCTTTGTGTCTTATCTGTTAAACTGCTTTCTCAGCCAATTGTACAAAATAGGAGAGTGAATGTGTCGTTTTTGGTTTAATTGGTTTAAGTTGATCAAAACAGGTGTAATCATAGATATGTGTAATTTGCATAAGCTGTAATTTTCAGTATGAAGTTTTCATAGAATGCTGTAACTTCATACTGAACTGGAAATCAACTGCCTATTTGACTGTGCTGTATGTAGTTGTACACTAGAACTATGATATTAACCGTGGTCTTTAACTTCCCTCACCACCATCATCTGACATGGTTTGGATTTGTTGTTAATATTGAAAAGTGAAGGCGGTTTTGATTGTGTTAAAGAACATCCTAATCTGACCCTAAGAATAATAATATGGTAATATGCTTTAGCAAGGGATAATTCATTCTTTTAGTAAAAATTTGGTAAGAAATGGGCAGTAAATGTAAGTAGTGATAAACAGCAATTAATCACGGGTGGTGAATAATAAAGGTGATAAGAATTATTATACTGATATGGTCCAGAACAGAGCTTTATCTGTAATATCATGTAATCAGTTAGGAATTGGTTAGCTAATTTGTTAGGAGTTAGTTACACTGTTAGGAGTTAGTTAACTACTTAGATCAGCAATTGTTTACCTTCTATAAATATAGATTGTATGTACTTTCCAGATTTAATAATGAAATGATAAGAAATCATTTTCATCATGGTATCAGAGCAAGTAAAGCTCTCACGAGCATTCTTGGGTCCTTGATCTCATTTTCTTAGTTCTTTCAAAAGTCTTCAAATTTTTCTCAATCATTCTTCAGAATTGTTCAATCTTCTTCAATGGCAACTCCTACCTCAAATGCTCTTCCTTCAAATCTGAATCTTCTCATTTCAAATCTTAGTTCTTTCATAACTGTAAAACTGGATTCTTCAAATTTCATCATTTGGAGAAGTCAATTTCTTAATATCCTGCGTGCTACAGATCTGCTAGGGTTTGTTGATGGTTCTCATTCTTCTCCACCATCAACAATTACAAATGCAGATGGAACCACAGCAGTGAATCCAGAATTTCTGCAGTGGAAACAAATTGATGCACATCTATTGAGTTGTTTAACAGCTACACTCACACCTGTAATTTTCTCTTCTGTTTTACATCTTCAACATAGTGCAGAGGTTTGGCAAGTTCTGTCAAAACGTTTTACTACATTGTCTCGCAGTCACATTCATCAACTGAAAAATCAATTGACTAATCTGACCAAGACTTCTCAGTCAATTGAAGAGTATCTGAGTCAGATTAAAGAGTTAGCTGATCAACTCGCTCTTGTCTCTTCTCCTGTAGATGCAGAAGATCTTGTTCTTATTACACTGAATGGTTTACCTGCAGCATTTGATGCTTTTAAAACCACAATACGAGCTAGATCAGAAGCCATCTCTATGGAAGAACTTTCATCTCTTCTATGCTCAGAATCTATTCACATGCATTCCACTTGAAAAGTGAAGGCGGTTTTGATTGTGTTAAAGAACATCCTAATCTGACCCTAAGAATAATAATATGGTAATATGCTTTAGCAAGGGATAATTCATTCTTTTAGTAAAAATTTGGTAAGAAATGGGCAGTAAATGTAAGTAGTGATAAACAGCAATTAATCATGGGTGGTGAATAATAAAGGCAGTCATATACAGATTTGGGTATGTCTGATCCAATTTGGTCAAGAGTTCAGTAGCCACTGTCTATCTCAGGCTTTAGCACAATTTGATTGAGGAAATCCATGTCTTGCTACCTCCTCTTCAACCGAATGACCTCTAATATGTGCATGCCAAGGGCATAGTAATCCAAATTCCAATCGTGTGGATTTCTGTGTATTGTGACAATGTTCTTAGTTGGGAATACATACTCTTAATGATGAATTATGCTAGAAGCATTAAAAAAATATACTAGGGTGATTACTCGGTGCATTGGATTGCTACAATCCTTGTTTGAGCTGAAAAGATAATGTGTTTGATTTATCAAGTAATTGAAGGCTGCTATTACAGTCAATAGATAAGCAAAGACGGGTAGAAATATTTAATATACCTAGCACCCAAAATTCAAGTGTTTGATATATCTAATAATTCAAGATTGCTATTACAGTCCATAGATAAGCAAAGATGGGTAGAAAATTTTAATATACCTAGCATTTATTTGTACTGATGATGCATTCTTTTATTGAGAAATCTAGTAAACAAAATCTTAATGGTAGGATCTCTTGCCAACTAGTAAAATTTTGTCATTATCTTGTTCCCATAATTTCATTACTTTGTCAAATGCGTATGGCCCTGGAAGCTTAGAGATCATTCATCTGAAAATGAAATTATGGAGTCTTCACTACACACTCTTCCCCGAATTCCAAAGTCATTTGAATGACAATACCACAATCACATTTGCACTCATGAATTTGAAAACCTTCTACTTATTTTAAGAAACCATCCATCTTTCCATATGACTAGACATCTTGTGGTTACTCTAAAATGGCAAATTGGTAAGTCCGGAAGAGGAAACCAACCTTTCTTATCGCATGTCAATTGGGTTTATGTGCTTTATGCTTTACATTTATGAGCAATACTCGATGTATACAATGAAGTTCCTCAGAAAAAAATTGCCTATAAAGAGTTAAGCCTGTACACACTATGCTTTTCCCCTAGCTTTCCCTTCAAGAAAAGATTGTGCCACTTCTAATCCAAAGATCAAGAAAAAATTTGTGAATTTTCTCCCCAATTTTCCATGGTAACCAAATAAAAAATATGGGCTTTGTTTGGTTTCATTTTCAGAATCTGTTTTCAGAAATTAAAAAAGTAATAATAATAAATAGTATGACACTATTAAACACCTAAAGGATATTTTAATTTTTAAAAAAATTTATTTCTGCCCCCAACGATAAAACCATGTGAAGATGATATATATATATATATATTCCCCCCCCCCCCATTTTCTAAACCAAATTAATTTTTAGTTTTTTCAAGATACATTTCTAGTATCAATAAATGTACCGACCTGTAATTGGTTTCTCCATACCATTAAAAACCTTTTAATTCCTTTTAATGCAAATTATCCAAATCATGCCCAAAGAAGCAACACCCTCATTGTCTTCCCTTTGTTCTTAGCTCTCCCCTCCCTAATTATGGAAGAGGTCTGATGAGGAATGCGCATGCTCCCATTTTGGTATTACAATTATATAACTGTAATTTTATGTATTTAATATTTGTGTTTATTTATTTTTAATTAGTACTTAATAAATATTTAGTTTCTTCTTTTGTTAGGATCTAGTTTTATATTTTAAATTAGGGTGTTGGCCTATAAATTACTGAACCTCATCTTTCCTGGTGGCTTGGAACTGGGGCCCCTTTTTGGAATTTCTGTGCTGTATGTTTCTATCATTTACCAAATATGTATAACTTGTCTATGTATTTGACATCTAGATGACATTATCTGATCCGAATGTTCTTTTTAGAACACTGATGCAGTGTTGGTTTGTGTAAGAGAGGCTAATTTGAGCCCACTAAATTATTTAGGCCCAATAGCCCAAGATTAGTGGGCCCGAATTTATCGCAAGTCCAAGAATCGGTGGGTCCAGATTTATCGTATTTGACATCTAGATGACATTATCTGATCCGAATGTTCTTTTTAGAACACTGATGCAGTGTTGGTTTGTATGCATTGAATAACCATGATTAATTCCTCATCATGTGTGGATTTTGAAGACTGATGAAAGTTTATTTAAGTTGTATGTTAAGCGACCAAGATTATAATTTTATCGAAGGAAATAATCTAAATTGTTATTATCATCTTTGTTATTTCACAAGTGCCATTTTATAGCCAAGTCATTTGTTGTATTTTTTTGGGTAATATCATCTTGCTACGGGTTTTTTGTTTTTTTTTTGTTTTTTGTTGATTGTTTTCACCAAGTACATACATACTCTTGGTGCTAGCACTGCTCTAGATTACATTTCCGGAAACTAGGTTTAGAAGGTTATTATTATACAGGTTTTCAGATGCTGGTATAATTAAATGGAGGATATGTCCTGGGAGATATAGTAGGATACATATAACTGGCCCTAATAGCTGTGGTCTAAGGCTTTTTTTTTTTTTTTTGATGACTCAGGTATCCTCACAGCCGAAGCATGAGACTAATCCTGAGGGCCCTGAAGTTAACGACCGGGCAAACCTCCAGTGGCCCGCACAGTAACCCGTGGGGAGTGGGATTCGAACTTGGGACCTCCAGGAGGAGCAAACTCCCAGACCCCAGGTTTTCTTCCCTCACCCACTGGGCCACCCTTGCGGGTTCTGTGGTCTAAGGGTTTGTTGAGTTGAGTTGAGTTTTTGAGGTCTGGGGACTCTGATGGTGTATCATTCTTGTTCACATCTCTTGTAATTGTAATGAACGTTAGTTAATATGGAGGCTTTGGAATGAGGGCATAATTACTTTACATCTGCAGGTGAGAATTCTTGATACTGGGACCTTATCTCCTCCTCCTCCTTGTCTCTCCTCCTGTTTTTCTACCTGACAAATTTGTGTTTTCAAAAGGAACCCATCTTTTATGCTCTGGAAATGCAAGTCTGTTTTGTCCACTTTCTCCATCCCAAAGTGTTTTTGTTTTTTAGAGATTTACTTACTTTTTCTTGTGTATTTTTGTTGAGCCTTTTTACTATGTGGTAACATGGCTTTTGTTGCGTACAAAACTTAATTTTCTGCTCGTTCTTATTTTTCTAATGCCATGTTGCAGATTAGTTTTGAAAACTTTGGTTACTTAGTCCCTGGTCATATGTAGGACACTAAGTTTGGTGGATATAATAGTTAGCATTGCTTCTTTAACAACATTGAATTGCAAGTTGCAGGGCCCTTTAGGTAATTTGGACAACTGATGAACAAATTTGAGTCTGAAGTTTGGTGTGCTCATCAAGTTTCATTATAGTCATCTGCTCCGGTTGCGGTGTCCTATATGTTGGCGTTTATATTGGGAGAGCAAACTTTAGGGTACTTTGTTAATAAAGCTGGAGAATTATCTTAGGACCTTGTTCCGTGGAATTTAATTTTTTCAGAGAACTCAATTTTGTTGAAAAAACATTGCAGTTTTATATGAGGATTGTGTGAAGCCTTAGAATCTTGAGATTCTTTATTATCGGCGTTAAATTTGTGGCACACCGAGTATAGTTGGTATTTAGTGGCATCTTCGATAAGAAATGACTGGTACAATTTATATCTTACTTCAGTTTCTAGTACACCATGGCTTCCAAAATTTGTGTTTCTCTGCTCTTTGTTCTCCATCTTGGAAGTTTGATTACTTTTGCTTTAATGAGTGGGGGAACTAATGTGGGGATCACTTATAAATTAACTGATTCAGTGTTATTGTGGTGCAAAGAGTTCACTGCAGGATAGTCCTCGGTGATTAGCCCATGGGTGGTTATTATGTACTGTTGGAGATCATTATCTAGTGAAGCTGGAGTTTTAAGGAGATATTATGACATGAAAATCCCACTTATACAATAGTCAGATTTGTGATTGAGCCAATAACATGCTCCAGGTTGGGAATCTTTACTGCAGCATGGGCTTGTGTAAAAGAACTTGGTCTTTCTGGAGATTGGCAAGGGTTATGTAGTTCAAATTGAAAGAGTGCTAGGTGATGATTCATTGCATTCAGTCTAGTGATGATTTGATGTAGCAATGCTCGAAAGCTTTTGATTAGTGTTATTAGAAAACACTAATACCCTAGCGAATTATGTTTTGGAACACACATTTTGGAATATGGTACATTCTCATTTCAAAATGATAAATTCAACAATCTAAAACGATTTCAAATATAATCAATTAAAATTTAAGGCGAGTGAAGTTTTGATTGGACAAAACGTGAAAATGGGCCATAATGCTCATATAGAATTTTGTTGTTAATCGAAAATTATTTTGGAAGTACGTTAAATTATTAAAATATTGGGGCCTCTAGTATTTTCTAAAAATTTGTGTTTGAGACGATTTATGAATTTTTTTTTTGTAGCTAAACAGATACTTGTGAGAGAAAAAGTGATTGATTGGTGTGTAGATGACATTTTGTCTTATTGATTATTTTAATATTTTTTTTTATCTTTGTTGACAAAAAAATATTAAAATAATCAATAAAACAAATTATAAATAATATTTTATAATCATTTTATGAATAAAATAATTATCCAAAATATTTTTATTTGTAAAATGATGATGTATTAATGTTTGAACAAATTATAAATAATATTTTATAATCATTTTATGAATAATGACAATGTTATAAAAATTGGTGATTTTAAATTGAAACAATCAACATAGTATTAATTCGATCTAATTTGATTATAAAATTTTCATAATCTAATTTAATTCTAAATTTCCTAAAATCATCAATAATTATTTGATTCTAATTTTAATTTACGGATTGTTTGGGAACAAACTAAAATAATATATTTATTATTATTAATTTTTTTTTTAATCTTTTTGGATCATATCATGTTTTTACTTTTTTATAAGTGTTTTCATAAAAATTAAAAAAAATATTAAAATAACATATTCTCAAACAACTCTTTTGTTTTTAGAAAATTTTGATCAAAACTGTTTCATAATAAATTTTTTTTTAATACATTATGAACAAATATAATTTTTTTTATATATCTTTTTATAAAAATTAAAAATTATTAAAATAATTTATTCCCAAACAGATTTTTATTCTTAAATCCAATCAAATTAAAACTTTACTCGAACCTAGTCATTGCGGTCTGTAATAATTAACCAAAAGGAAAAGGAAAAGCAAAAGCAAAAGTAAAAGTAAAAAAAAGTAAAGCAAAAGCAAAGTGGGACACCAAATCACATGCGATGTGTTCCATGAAAGCATATAAGTATCTAACTTTAAACCAGGGGTGAGTGGCAAGCTGGTAAGGGCATGGGGTTTAAGCCTCTAGGTCCTGGGTTCAACTCCTCTCTAGGTCAATTTTTTGGACGTAGCACAGTTGGTTATGAGGTTGACCTCAAGGATGCCTTATCAGCTACTTGGTGTGAGTTTAATTCTACCCCGCTGTGCGAGTTCTGACTTAAACGGAGCTTGCCTTGGGAGGTCGGGACAAGCTTCCAGATTATAGTCTCTTACTCGGAACAGACAACAGGACACCTTGGTGATCTCCTCAAGGGGCGCTGCTTCTAGATTATAGTCTCTTACTCGGAACAGACAACAGGACACCTTGGTGATCTCCTCAAGGGGCGCTGCCTTGGACCTGCGGGAGAGTGGGAGGATTTTTCTGTAACAAAAAAAAAATAAAAAAAAATATCTAACTTTGTCCAATGAATAGATATAGAGATTAAAATAATGTGTTTGAACCATGCAAAGCATCTCAATTCAAAGAGCCTGGGTTTAGTATTTTTATTTTTTCAAGGTAAATTACCCTTACTCCTGGTTTATGTTTAATATTTATCATTTTTTAACATTTAAAAGATTACATTAATCTTCTGATTATTATAATTATTTAAACAGAATAAAAATGTTGAACTCATGCACTCTGTCTTTTTTTACTTTACTTTTTTTTCTCCCTTCCTTTGCTTTATTTATTTATTTTTTAATGTAATTTCATTTATTTTTCTACTAAGAGTTGTTGTCTTCTATATAAAAAGGGAGTTTGTAAAATGAGACTATTAACCACATGGGTAAAATGTAATTAGACCAAATCTCAGAAGGTGTCAATGTAATTTACCCTTTTTTAAAATCTCAAATAGGTCAATGTAATTTATCGTAATATTTTCAATTTATTTTTTATTTTATTTTATAATATATTTATATGATAAAAATTATATCATATGGAGGGATCATAAATATTTTAACACTATGATTTTTATTGATAGCATGTATATTAACTAACGTTAGAGTTTTCCAAAAACTTGCTTGGTTAGAGTTTTTCAAAAATCATTTTCAGAAAATTCTACTTTCTTATTTTTCGTATTTTTTTTTTGTTTTTAGTGAATTTTTTTAATATTTTAAGCAATTGTTTTTAATTTTTAAACACACCTAACATAAATATATATAAAAAGTATAATTTTTGGGAAAAAATCTTTTAAAAATTCAATAAATACCAAAAACATAAAAAAAGTATGAAAAATTTGTATATTTTTCGTATTTTTATGTATTTGTTAATTTTTTAAAATATTTTTTCATAAATTTTTTACTTTTTAGATACATCTAAGTAAGGTGCATCTAAAAAAGTAAAAAAATGCTTAAAATTTGAAAAACATTCACTAAAAATAGAAAACTCAATTTTCAAAAAATTTAATCCAGAAAACTCAAACCAAACACACTGATTAGTATTTTTTTTTTTTTATTGTTTTCTTCCCCTCTCTTTAGAGACAAGGTAGCCCGAGTGGTAAGGACCACATTTACAACCCTAGGTCTAGGTTTCGAGTCTCACTTCCAGTGGTAGACACAAAAATCTCGTTAAGAAGAGGCCAAATTCTGTATAATTAAATATTAACTATACATTAATTTTAGTACATTTTTACCAAAGTTTCATATGTATGATAATTCACTTTATAAACATAAAAATTGAACATCATCATTAAATTTGCAAATAATTTTTTTAATCAATATCTAATAAAACAAAAAAGTATCAAAATTGGATTATAAAGTACTTTTTACACAAAATAAATAAAAATTGAAAATGATAACATACAAATATGGATCATAACTAACACCAATTTGAATCATAAATATTATTTTAGTAGTAATCAAAAATCACAATGAATCGTAACTAATTCTACTTCCAGATATAATCAAACATCATAATAAGATGTAACTAATTTGATTTGATAATTTGTTGGTCTCATAGACACAATGATGTGTAATTTAGACCATAATTTACATACTATATAGTATTGTAAGATAACTCTGATTGAAGAACGGAAACAATTTGACGCTTTGAAGAAGGAATTTTTTTTTTTTTTTGGGCAGGGGCCAACCCTTCACAAGGAAGCAACGAATAAAGTTCCCCCTCCAAAAAAAAAAAAAAAAAAAAAAAAAATAAATTTTATATGTAAGAGCATGGTACTGATCTCAAAATATTCTCTCCTCCTCAAACTCTCCTTCAAAACCTCTCTGAATCTGATTGTCTCTCTTTGATGGATGTTAATGGTCTTGTTTGTCTTTAGTGAAAAGCTTTTCTCCTCACTGTCGACTGAGTTGTTAAGGCTGTGTATGTTTCATCTCTAAGACACTCTGGAAAGTTTCCAAGGTTTTTCTTTCTTTACTTGCACTTCCACTTCAATTCTATTATTTCTCTCTGTTTAAATCTCAACTTACTTTCTGTCTTCAGTTTTATTGTAAATCTCTGTGTTCCACTGTTGCTTACCAGAAAAAAACAAAAAAAAAATCCCTGTATTCTCTTTTGATTTCAGTAAACTTTGCAATCTTCTCCTCTGCAACTCTATTTTATTAACTCTGTGTTGAACAATTACAAAATCAGTATTCTCTGCATTCTGTTTTCATTTTACTAAGCTCACTTTCTTCTTTGTAATTTCTGTTTTACAACACAAGTTCTCTTTGTCCAATTATATTGTGATTCTCTATATTCAACCTTGCTTGTCAAAAAAAAAAAAAAAACTTTAGATCCGCTCTTGCAAAGTGTTCCTTTCATATCTTCATACCCTCTACAAAATTGTATTTCTCTTCCTCTGCCACTCTATTTTAACTCTGTGTTCATTGTGTTTTCAATAGTTGTTTGTTTTCTTCTAGTTTTACATATTGCATTGCAGAAAAAGGAAAAGAGAGAGAGAGAGAGAGAGAGAGAGGTACACAGCTGAAATAGAAGTGAGAAATGGCTACTGGTTTGGTTGGTTTTGTTGGCCCGATTGTAGGGCCGATTGCAGGCATTGGACAATTTCTAATGGCTCCAGTTGGCCGTCATTTCGGTTATCTATTTTCCCATAAAAGCAAGGTCAAGAATCTGAATGATGAAGTCAAGAAGTTGGATGAGAAAAGAGGTGCAATGCAGCTAGCAGTTGATGAAGCAGAAAGAAATGTAAAAGTTATTGGACCTGATGTCAAGGGGTGGCTGGAAAGGGTTGATAAATGCAGCGAAGAGGCCAGAGAAATTATAAAAGATGAAGTTGAAGAAAACAAAGGGTGTCTATATGGGTGGTGTCCAAACCTGCCGTTACGTTACTCGCTCGGTAAGAAAGCAACCAACAAGGCAAAAGAGGTGGCTAAGTTGTACGAAGAGAGGAAACTGACGGAAGTGGCCTACAATAAGCCTTCACCATGGATAGAATCCACATCCACTGAAGGTATTAAGGTTTTTGAATCTAGACGATTGATTACGAATGATGTCATGGAGGCACTGAAGGATGATAGATTCCACCTGATTGCAATATGTGGGATGGGAGGTGTTGGTAAGACAACAATGGTGAAAGAAGTTGCCAAAAGAGCAAATAAAGAGAAATTGTTCGATGAGGTTGTGATGGCTGTAGTGTCCCAAATTCCTGATAAAAGGAAGATTCAAGGTGAAATTGGAGATAAATTGGGTTTGAAATTTGAGGAGGAGACTGAACTTGGAAGAGCAAATCGACTACGTGAAAGACTAAAGGACACCAAGAGAATCCTTGTCATATTGGACGATGTTTGGGAGCGTCTCGAACTGAATGACATAGGAATTCCATTTGGAGATGGTCATAGAGGTTGCAAAATTTTGCTGACTTCTAGATATGATAATGTATGCAACGATATGAATGCTCAAAAGAAATTTACAGTTGAAGTCTTAACTGAAGAAGAAGCATGGAATCTCTTTGAGGAGATGGCTGGAATTTCCAATGACACAAGTCACACAAGTACTGATTTGTATATCACACAGAAGAAAGTTGCGGATGAATGTGGACGTTTGCCGATTGCTATTGTTACAGTTGCAAGGGCACTCATAGATAAAGATGAGCAGTCATGGAATTCGGCCCTTCTACAGTTACGCAAGTCCATGATAAAAAACATCAGGAATGTAGAAAAAGAGGTGTTTAAATCTCTGGAGTTGAGTTACGACTTCTTAGAAAGAAGAGAAATTAAGGAATGCTTTTTGCTCTGCTCCTTATATGCTGAAGATTTTAATATTCCAGTTGAAGATATCGTTAGATATGGTGTTGGGATAGAGTTGTTTGAGGCCATTGATAGCGTCAAAGAAGCAAGAGACAGAGTACATGACTTTGTCGATGACTTAAAAAAAGGCTATCTCTTAATGGATGGTGAACTAGAAGGTTGTGTTAAAATGCATGATGTAGTTCGTGATGTTGCTATATCAATAGCATCTAGGGAGGAGCATTCATTTATGGTAAGATGTGACGAAGCATTGAAAGAATGGCCGGAGAAAGAACGACAGAAAAATTACGCTGTAATTTCATTGCGATGCACTGGTATGAGCAAGCTGCCTGATAATCTAGAATTTCCAAAACTCCATCTTTTACGGCTAGAGGACAATTATGCATCATATCGTCCAAATCTCCCAGATAGTTTCTACGGAGGGATGAAGGAACTCAAAGCTTTAAGCATGTTGAATGTGTACATTGAAGGATCATTGCCGACATCCCTGCGATGGTTGACCAACCTCCGAAGCTTGTCACTATACGAATGCGGACTGATCAATGATGTATCTGCAATAGGAGCATTAGAGAATCTAGAAATTTTGAGTTTCAAAGGCACCAAATTCGAGGAGTTGCCAAAAGAAATAGGTCGGCTTAGTCACTTGAAGCTACTGGATTTGTTGCGATGTGTTGTGAAGAGGATTTGCCCAGGTGTTTTGTCGAGCTTGTCAAAGCTAGAAGAGTTGTATCTTGGGTATAGCTTTGATGATGAAAACAGGATAGAAGAAGCTAAAGCGACTTTCACTGAGCTGTGTGGGTTGTCTAATTTTACAACTTTGGTCATTCACCTACGACATGTTGCATACTGGCCAAGAGACTTGGTCCTTACGAATCTAAAAGCATTCGCTATAACCACTGGGTTTCCTAGAGGTTGTCGTGATTATCAGTTACAAAACCAGTTGAGTCTCGAGGATCTTCACGAGAGCGATCTTATGGAGAGTGGGGTCAAGAATCTTTTCAAGATCACTAAAATTTTACAAATAACACGAGCTGTAGGTGTGAGGAATGTTGGCTATGATTTAGCCAGAGATGGTTTCAAAAAATTAACAGAATTGTTCTTGGAAGATTGTCAGGATTTGGAATATGTCATTGAAACAACAGATGGGGTTCCAGTTCCACAAATAGCCTTTCCCGTGTTACAATCGCTATGTCTCCATCATTTAGGTAAATTGAAAGAGATTTGTCATGGTCAACTACCAGAGGAGACCTTCATTGCATTGAAAGAGCTGCAACTAGTGGACTTGCCCACATTGACACATTTGTGGAAGGGTCCTACTCAACTTGCCCGCAACCTAACTTCTCTAAAATTGAATAGATGTGATAAACTGGAAAGGATGTCCTCATTATCCATAGCCAGAGATTTGATGCAACTACAGAAACTTCATGTATCTCAATGTCGTAAGATGGAAGTACTTATTTCGAGTGAAGAAGAAGGAGATCAAAATGAGATAGCATCAACAACAATAGAAACAACAGACAAAATTGTGTTTCCTAAACTAAAGGTTTTGTATCTTCAAGACCTGGCAAGTTTTACTGCTATGTGCAAGGCTACGAATGGAATTGAGCTGCCACAATTGAACGAGCTGACACTCTTTCAGATGTCAAAGCTCAATAGTTTTTGCAATACTTCTATTCAACCTCTCTTCAATAAGGTATGCTTCTTTGACTTAAGCTTATTTATTTATTTATTTAAGCTTCATTGTTGTGGGGTGTCTATAAATTTTATTTGTTATTTTGCTATTTTCTTTTGACCTTTTGGGCTATAATGAGAACACAACATATTTTTGATTGAATATGTATTTAGGAACAAAAATAAAAACGTCAAACTACACTTGAAATTAATTAGTATTTAGGAACAAATTTCCGTTTTTATGTGTCGTATTTCTTTAGACAAATTACATTTAATTCTTGTAGTTTGTTCTATATCAATTTGGTTTTTATAACTTTAATTGCATTAATTTTACCTTTCAATTTTGTACATTGTATCAATTTAGTCCAATTGATAATATTTCGTTTAGAAATTGGACTAAAATTAAGGTACAAAATGGTTTTTTAATTCCCTTCAAAGTAATTGAAGGATTCACATCCAATTTGAATTGATTCATTCCCTTTTTAATAGATCATTTTGCCTTCGATTTTTATTCGATTTTTTAACGACTATTATCACTTGGACTAGATTGACACAATTTGAAAAGTTAAAGGGCAAAATTGATATTACAGAAACCAAATTGACATTAGAGGCACGTATAGAGACTACATGTATAATTTGTCCTATTTCTTTTGACTAAAAATTTAGCTAAACTAATATGAATTGGGCTGTAATTTTGCGAACTTTGACCTTATTTAAAATACTAAGATTGCATTTTGGATGGAAGAAATTAGGGGAAATTACAAAAATAAATAAATAAATTGACCCTTGTAACATAATAAATCTTGAGTTTTAATTTTGTCAATTTAAAACTTGAACTTTTGATTTTGTTTTCAATCTGAATAATTTGCTTATTTTTGTTAAGTCAAATCGATAGAAAAATGGGTATGTTAGTTATTAAATTTATTGAAAATGAGTATTTTAGGCATTTTATGTATGCCTACATTGAGTTAAATGACTAAAATATTATTTTTTTCATTAATTTTAGTTTACAAAAATAGACAAATGGTTTAGATTGAAAATAAATTAAAAGATTGAGGTTTAAATTGATAAAATTGAAAACTCAGAGTTTATTGCAAGGGTCAAACATTAATTTTATTTATTTATTTTTTTGTAATTAACCCAAGAATTTAAAATAAAGGGTTTTGAGGTTAAGGAGCAACCATTAGTCTCTATAGTTTAAATGAAATGTCAGTTTAGTCACCGTAATTTCAATTTAAATCCTATATTTTCAATTTTGTTGCAATGTAATCTCGTTATCATTCACCATTAGAATTTTGCACGGATAAATGCCACATGCAAAACTAAACTAAAGTCGTTTTGTTACACACCCAAAAAAAAAATTGAAATGAAATGCAAGTGCAGAACATACAAGCGCCAGAGAGAAGACACATAGGCGAGAAAGAGAGAAGAAGGGGCTTGACCGATACTACCCTTCTACTATTCGACCACCCTACTAACCCCGCTAACACCAGTGCTGGCGAGATCGAGATCAACATAGAGAGAGCTTGCAGCAGCAATGGCGGCTGGGAAGGGACATGTGAGGTTAGGGATGGACTAGAGAGGCTCATCAAAGTTGAGATGGGTGAAGGATTGGTAGGGATGGGGGTACAGTGGAAAAATGAGGTGGATCTCGCAGGTAGGGGTCGCTAAAGATATGGATAGTAGATTTCGGGGAAGGAGAGGAAGGGAAGGAGGGGATGGGAAAAGTGGGGAGGTTACCAAAGGTGGTCATAGTGGTCGATTGTGAGAAGAGAAGGCAAAGAAGTGCTCTGTTTGCATTGTGGGTCTTCGTCTATCTGCCTTTTTCTTCTCTTCTATGTTTCGTTTCGTTTCGTTTCATTTTTTTTTTTGTGTGCACACCAAAACGACGTCATTTTAGTGCACTACACAAACACTACAAGAAAACACCACAGAAGATCTGGACTCGTTTGAGTAGAAATTCCAAATAAATTTTTACAACTTATAAGGTTTTTGTTTTACTTAGAATTCTTAGGAAGAACTTTTGAAATGATTGGTTTTATAGTGTTAGTTTGTAAGGTTAATTACCTAAAGGTCCTATTGATATGATTAATATTCCATTAAGTCCTCCTTCCTTTTCTTTATGGTGATTCTATTTACACACCATAAATCCTTTCAATACATACCACTTGCTCAATTCGCACTACACACAAATTAAAGCTTTTAATTTTGTCTTAATACACACCACTAATTTTTAAATAATACCAAATTACTCTCATCTTCTCCAACCCTAACCTTAACCCAAACCCAAACCCTTGCCCATCGCTGGCCGTCAACCACCAACCTCCACATCTTTTTCCTCCTCGTCACAACCCTCATCTTCGCCCCTACCACCACTGCCCTACCACTACCGTAACCCTCACTGCCGCGATGCACAGTTGTCGTAACCCCCCCCACATATCTCTCTCTCTCTTTACAAACTAGGCATGGTTAGTCGTTGAACGCAGGCGAGTTGCGATGGTAGTGGTCTTCGCATGACGAGAGGCGCAATGGTGGTAGGTCATTATAATGGTGGTAGTTATTAGATGACAATGACAGCAATGGACTAGAAAGGTGAAGCGACAATGGTAACGACAACGGAGTGATAGGGAAGGTGAGTTGTAGAGGAGGGTGGTGATGACAGTAGCCATGAAATGAAAAAAGAAGAAGAAGAAGAAGGAGAGCGACGACGACAACGATGAAGATGACTTCGTGATGGTGACAGTTGATTGGTGGTGGTGGGTGTCAATAGGTTAGGTTAGGGTTTGTGGATGAAGGTGATGGAATAGAGATGATGGCAATTTGGATATTTGATTCAAGGATAAAATTGTAATTAAAAAATTATGAATAATGGCATGAACTGAGAGTAATTGAGGTATGTAAATAGAATTACCCTTTTTTAACACAAAGTCCTATTTTCAAAATATTTATGTGTACATGACTGTTTTACCCTTATTAAAGGGCGGAATGAATTGAAAAGTGTCTATTCATTAAGTGCTAATAAAAAATTATTAGGTGTTACAAGTGTAACACATGACAATATTATCAACCAATCACCCGACATTGTACTTCATGCCCTAATACAAATTGTGGACCCCACCCTCTCCACACACACAAATGTTTTGGTAATCACCTAACCATGTTTCAAAAGTACTAGATATTTTTTCTTATTCAAGTGGTATTGTCATGTACCATTTTACTTTTATTTTGTTGTTTCAAAACTTAAAAACTTCATAATTAATAAAATTATATTTTTGGAGTCTACACAATGAGATCTATCAAACAAGACCAATATTGATAAAAGTAAAATATTATTTTTTTAGCTATACAAAACCAACAATTTCTCAGTTTGAGAAACTATCCAATAAAATTGAAAATTTTCTCTTTTTTTATTATTAATTAGTATTAACTGAGAATATTCTTAGTTTTTGAGAAATTTCTCAATTTGTTTTAGTTTTAAACTGAGAATATTCTCAGCTTTAAAATTGAAAAAAATTGAAAAACTTGGACCAAAAAAATATTGTTAGTTAAGTAAGTTAAAACTTACTATTAAAAATGGTTTAAATTGTAAATTAGTAATAAAAAAACATATTTTTATTTTTATATAATTTTGCATTTAATATTAATCTTGTTTGATAGGTTTCGCTATGTTGATTCTAAAAATATAAATTTTATCAAAAATAAATATACATTGTAAAAATTATGATGACTTGAAATTTTGAAAATCAAAATATAAATGTTATATGGCTATACTTTTTTATAAACAATTACAAATGATGAACAACCATTGTTTGAAGGATAATTTCATTTATTAAAAATAAATGGGACTTGAAGTAGAAAAAAATCTTATCCAAGACTTAATAAAATATAAGTTTACAAAATAGAACTTGTGTGGAATGCCCCTTTTATATTCATTCTTATCAACCTTCGGAATCATCCCTAAAATGAATAATATAGTTGTGTTTTTAGATATGAATTTGAAATAAACAGATTTCACATCACTCAGTTGAGAAACATATGCTTAATTCAATGTATTTTTATTTTTTTATTTTTAAGATGTACATTTTAGTAATGGATTTTATGGTTTTAGATTATTGGATATAAAATAATATCCCATCTCCTTCTTCCCTTTCCCTAATAGACACCTCCTCCCTAGCCTGGGGTGAGGCAAGCAAGGTTTGGGCCTCTAGAATTTGGCCCCAAATAGGGCTCCAAATTTTTTTTTTGGGGGAGGGGGGGGGGTTACAAACCAAATACCCATTAGGTCCTAACCCAAAATTATAACCATGCTTTTCCAATTTTACCCCTAGTCCAAAACTCACTGTCCAGTAACTCGCTCGCTACCCAGCAACACTATTGTATCTTTCTCCTCCTCCGCAAGCAACTACTTCCGATCACTGGTGGCCACCATCACTCATTGGCAATCACCTAGGACGATAATTTCCAGTGACATTTTATCGAATTGTTTCGACAAAAATAATATCTATCACCACTACATCATTATTGCCACCATCTCCACCACTCAATTACTCAATCATATTTACACACTTTCATCAGTCATAATTTTATTACTGATAGATTTTTTAAAAAAATTACAAACAAATTTGAATCATTCACTCTTATGTTCACTCACTTATTTACAATAATCCACCCTCATCTCTCACACACACAATAAACAATAGAGACTGATAAATTTATTTCTAGAAAAAAAATATGAATCTATCATAGATCAATACAAAATTAGCAAAAAATTAATGATACATTCAGTGATAAATTTATTACTGAACACAATTAGATATTGATAAATTTATTACTGATTTTTTTTTACAACAAATCTATTTTTAAAAATAGAGAGAGAGAGAGAGAGAGAGAGAGAGAGAGAGAGAGAGAGAGAGAGAGAGAAGGAGAAGAAGTAAGATCTGGAAAAAAAAATTGTTGTTTGGAGTCATTTGGAGTCAATTTTACCATTGAAACAACTAGATCGATGTAGATCTAAACTAAATC